AAATAAGTGTTTAAAAACAGGAAATGGAATAGTGATCTCTGCTCTCAGAGAACTTAGCAGTGAGAAAACAGGGGATTGTTGCTGCTATAAGCATTATTCTTAATAATAGCTCTAATGGCAAATATAAATCAATACCTACTATGTGCCCGACACCATATAATAAGGGTAGATAGAGACTTAAGTGGGAATATAAGAAAAGAATAAATATTTTTAATTAGGTAAACTAAAAGAGCAAATTCCTAGAAGTAGTATCTGAGTGTCTCCTTGAAAGAGCCCTGGTGGTGTAGTGGTTACTCATTGGGCTGCTAACTGCAAGGTCAGTGGTTCAAAACTACCAGCCACTCGGAGGGAGAAAGACTGGACTTTCTACTCCTGTAAACAGTTTCACTCTCAGAAAGTCACAGGGGGCAGTTTGACCCTGTCTATAGGGTTTCTCTGAGTTGAATCGACTCAAAGACTGTGAATTTTGCTTTTGTATTTGACTTTTTGAAGACTCGTGTAAGACGGGATTCAGCTTTAGTCTTGCTGGTTTCCTTCTGGAAAGAGGTCAGCGTTACTGTGGTGCTGTGGCGTCTGCTCCAACTCACGGTGACTGGATCGGCCAGGGTAGAACTGCCCCCAGGGGATTTCCAAGGCTACATTTATGGGAGCAGACTGTTCCTTCTTTCCCCCACAGAGCAGCAAATAGGTTAGAATGGCCAACCTTTAGGGTAGCAATCGAGCACTTGAACATTTCACCATCCTGACTTCTGTGAAAGGCAGTCAACAGAATTGATTGAGCAATAGAAGAAGCTCTGTCTTCTGAGACAGCAATGCAGCGCTTCAAGTGTGCAAAGTAGTGGGAATCCCAAAGAACCACAGGCTCAGTCAGTGCAAGATGCAATCAGTCCTGCATATTCACGGATTCTGCAGCTCATGAACATGCAATGATGTCAGTAACTAGGCTTTGAACATGGGGGCGTCTTGGGTCAGCAAGAACATGGGAAGGTAGCAGGCCCCTGAGGACGATGGAAGTCTCGCACTACCATCCCGCCTAGACCAAGCCTTCATTTCTATCCTGTGCAGGTCTCCATGTCTATCCTTTCTGGGTACAATAAATGAGTACCTGCAAGTACAGATATTCTCCAAACATTTTGTGTGTTGTTGCAAGGAATTAATGAACCCACGGTGGGGCAAGGAGAACCAAATAGCGACCTGCCTGTTTAGCAATAGGAAGGACTGGGCCCTCCAGCTTATCTCTGGGTGGCTGCATGAGGGGAATGCTTTGCAGCAGCCAATCTGCAGGACTGCACTGACCTGACTGGGCTTAGCTAGGACTGGAGCAGGAGGGTCGAGTCTTTCTAACTTGTGAACTCCAGTCCAGTTCGGGGTGGTTGGAGATTAGAAAGAGACTGTGCCGCTCAGGTGGCTGGCAAAAGACATAGGAGGGTGAGGGCTGAATCTCCCTCCAGATGAGAATTAGACTCACCCTGATCCTTACCATGTAATTAGCAATAATCCTAGAACTTGCTCACCTTGCTCTTCTATTAGTGCAAATAGTTTTTGTGGGGTTGTATTCATTTCATATGGCGTTTGTTTATGAGTTTACACTTATAGGGCTAGGACTACTGATCCAAAAAGTTATTATGAAAACTTTCAAACTTATAACCAACTGGAAGGATTTTACTGTGAATTTTATGATCAATGCACTTCGGATGCCGGCCTCAAGCTGGAGGTCCCCATGGTCTCCTCACTGCTGACCTGCTGGCTATAAACATAGAGGTTCCCTTTACCCTCTCAGGATGCCAGTTAGGAGTTTGGGAGTCTCTAAGACCCGACACATCTGATCGTCTGGTTCCCACAATTCCGTGTTTGGATAATTTGCTAGAATGACTCTAGTACTCAGGGACACGCTCTCCTTATCGTCAGTTTTATTATAGTAAAGGGGCACAAATGAAGAGACGCTTCACAGGGAAGTTCTAGAAGAGCTCATAAGGCACTGGGGCCCTGTGATGCCTTTACAAGTTATCTACCTGCATGTTAACAAAACTTTACTCTTTGTTACACCCTATAATCCTACCCCAGACTCTGTGGCCCAGGTGGCGTTCAGGAGTGAGGTTGTATGTTGGCAACACCTGCTGTCTGATAAAGCAGGAGATAGGCAGGGCCTTCAGCTTCACTCCCACCTGACTCTCTCTTTTCTCCATCTGTAAAATGGGGAGAACTTTCTTACCCCAGGTCACTGCCATATTCCTTTAAAGGGTATTATGCAATACCCAAACCATCAAATCCATTCAAACTCAAGGTGACCCCATGTGTTTCAGGAGAAGTGGGCTCTGTGGGGTGTCAATGGCTGATTTTTCAGAAATAGATTGCCAGGCTGTTCTTCCAAGGCACCTTTTTTTTTTTTTTTTTGGGGTGCTCACCTCTATGGTATCTGGAACCAGGTCCAGAAGAGAGAGAGAGAAAATGTA